CGCGCTCAATATGACCGCTTCGTCCAACATTATAAAAACAACTGACATAACTGCAGGCGAATACTCAAAATCGAATCTAAATTGTTACGTTACAGGCGAATGCTCGTCAGTCAGTGAGGCAATGCTGCAACGTAATGCTCAACATCGAATCTTAATTGTTACATTACAGGCAAATACTCCCGGTGAGGGACCGCCCTTAGAAAATTTTAAACATGTGGTGTAACAAGGATTTCCTTATTATTATGTTTTATAAATACCAAGTAAAATTTTTTTCGTAATATTTCAATTTTTTCAGCCTAGTATTCAAGTAACTTACACACACAAAAAAGTTCGAATGAATAAACTAAAGAGATTTCTTTAAACCAGTTTGAAAGGCTCCCGCAGTAAACATTGGTTAAACTAGTAGTTCTGCGAACAGTAGACCTCGCGAGCACAACTTTTTTGTTATGTGAGCAATTTACTGCATTTTGAGGAGCTATTCAGCTCATGACGTCAAAGATCCTCATCAGATCTTCGCTAAATTTTTATAAGACCAACTTAAAGTTACTTCCTTTAAAAAAAAAAAAGAAACATCGAAACCGGATCTCATAAGGCGGAGATATCCAGTAGGCTACTTTTTGTTCTTTTTTAGAAGAAATACTCCTCTAATCAAAAATCCCCACCAAAAAAAAAACTATAACATCGTAAAACTTGTATAACAAGTTTCGTTCAGATCGGTTGTAAAATACGATCTGTAGACGAGTACCTCTACGAGTACATCTACGTCAAAATAAGCAATATATTTCAGTATATTTTTAACCTAAAATGATTTAAAGTACCTATAAAATATTATCATAAACAATTTAAAACAAATCTAATTCGATATGTATAAAGTATAAACACATCACGAATTGATGTATAATATTTTAACTATAATTAAAGTTCATACCTTGTCATATTTACCTATTAGATATACATATCTTAAAGCATTGTCGACTGGCACCAACTTCGAAAATATCTGATTAGGTATCTATTTTTATTGAAACCCCCCGTTTAGTTATTTTTTACTTATTAGTGCCTGGAAGTTGGTTTTTAATTCTTTTAAGTTTTTATATGGGACCTGGGAAGTATACCGTTTGAAACAAAAAAAAGAATTTTCCAAATCGGTTCATGCGTCTTCGAGTAATCGGTGAACATACATAAAAAAAAGATTCCGACGAATTGAGAACCTCCTCCATTTTAGAAGTCGGTTAAAATAGGTACATAATCCAAAAAAAAAAGTTAAATGCATTAATTTCCCATCACAAAACCTGAACTCGTAAGTCGTAATACTTTTCATAAGGATTCTTTATTTTCTACTCTTCAAAACGAATAAGGATATGATAGTGAAATATGGTGCATTCACTCATTCTGAATGCATTTTATACGTAAGAGAGAGACGGAGATAGTTTAAGGGGATGAAAATGCATAGATCCATACAGCCTTAGTTAAAAAGAGACAGATGCACTCAGCATTTAACGAATAGGTTACAAAATATCTCTTCTATAGTTTTGCCATCCTAGTACTTCATGTTTTGGTAAGAATGTGACGTGAAAATCGGAAGAACCGACCATGATCCGTCGGAAGTATTTTTTAATTTAAATTAATATTCCAAGAAAAACAAGAATACGTTGGACAAAATGTAATTTGATTGTTGTATGTAATTAACCTTTTTTTTTAACGTCCCACTGCTGGGGGTGGGCCTCCCTTCAATACGAGAGGGATCAGGCCATAGTCCACCACGCTGGCCAAGTGCGGGTTGGCGGACTTCACACATCTTTCGAAAACTTGCTAAGTTCCCTCAGACATGCAGGTTTCCTCACGATGTTTTCCTTCACCTTAAGGCAAGTGGTAATCATGCTAGAAATGATTCGCACATGAAAATATCAGATGTGCGAGACCCGAGATTTGAACCCGCATCACTCGGTTTCTCAAGCGAGCACGTTACCACTGGGCTACCACTGCCTATTTTTTATAAAAATTTTGATGATGGTTGTAGGTATGTAGTAAATTAATACATATTTACATTCTTTTTCACTATTTATTTTGGTTTTAAGCATCTTAAACAGGAGAAGGTTTGTGAATGTTTCGCGATATCTCATATCTTATTAACATGAACGTTAATAGTATATAGTAATTAATTATATAAGTAAAAATGGAAAATTTTGCATGTACATAATAATGACTCAGCAATTTTCGAATTTCTAAGAAATATAAAATGTGCTGAAATGTGACCTGTGTGTGCTATTTATATGCCACTTAAAAAAAATTACACAAAAAATATATTTTTTATGAGGAGGTCCTTTTTTCAAGTCCGATTGGCTAAAACATTTTACTTTAGTCATAATTTTTTCCAAATGTGCCAAAACTTAAAAGAAAAATTATATTTTACATAATCGATTTTCTGAAGCAAAGGCTTTTTTAACGATTTTTGTTTATTTATTTATTTGTATTTTTTATTCACATCGCGACAATAACGCATCTCAAAATGATTTGCCAAATCACATCTCAACACGAGATGTGACATTTTTAGAACAATACAAAGCACCTTTGAATCTATGCGGAAAAACGAAATTCAAGAATACTTCCTGTATGTTTATTGTATCCTGGTAGCAGATGTTTTGGTTTAAACGCAACTCTACTCAGCCGCCTTTAACGACTGGTGTAATTAATAGTATACAATATAGAGTATAGAAAAAGTTAAAGCAATAAAAATTGTATTAGTAAAATCCCTATTTAAATTTAGATACTTGCGAAAATCTATACATAAAATAAAATTGTAAGTAAGCCGAATTTGTACATTAAATATTTTTTGGAAAATCTTATTGAAATAGATATAATTATCGATACAGAGGCCGAATCTACAGTTTTTAAAACTTTTGTCTGTTTGTCTGTCTGTTACCGCATCACAGAAAAACCACTGGAGGGATTTTGATGAAATTTGGTATGGTAGTAGCTGGTTACTTTTTACCCTTGGAAAATATCTCATGTCTGAGAAAAAATGCAAAAACTGCAATGTAAGAGTATACTAATATGTAAAACCTAAGAATTTGGTTTTTGGTCATCTGAACGCGTTCGGAGCCGCAGGCAATGCTAGTAACAATATAAATATAAAATATATATTTAGTAGTTTAAAGATTAGTTAGTAGATTAATGTGAAAAAGCAGATACACCCCTCTAGAAATAATTCTGCTGCCACCCATTTATAGCGTATCGCGTCTACTATGCCTAGTTGTGTTTTACATCCATAGAATCTTACTAATCTGTATAAATATTATAAATGTGAAAGTTTGTGAGTATGTATGGATGTTTGTTACTCTTTCACGCCGGAACAGCTGAACGGATCTGGATGAAACTTGGTACAGAGATAGATTATAGTCTGGAATAACACATAGGCTAGGTTTTTTACCCCGGAAAAATATACGGTTCTCGAGGGATAGATTTGTTTTTGTACTAGCCGATAGTATTATAAATGTGAAAGTTTAGATAGATGATTGGATGTTTGTTACTCTTTCACGCCAGAACGGCTGAACGGTTTTAACATCTAAACAATACAAATACAAAAAACATACAAATTTTCACATTTATAATATTAGTATAGATGAACGAATGAAGTAATTATATATTAAATATTTGGACATTTTTCTAATATTTTTTTCATTTTTATTAAAAATATATGTTAATAAAATAAATTAATTATTATTAGCATATATTTTTTTAAAAATGAAAAATATTAGAAAAGTTATTAAATATTTATTATTTTGCAAATTATTACAAAACAGTTTTCGAAATTGTTAGTAGATATCAGGTAAGAATGAGAGATATGCTGTCCGAATGACCAGTGGTCGATAAAATTTTTTGTGCATTCGTTTATTTTGCTCTGAATTTCATACGTGAAAGTGAGACGAACGTATATAATGTATGTTGCTATGGAACAATGTAGAGTCATATACAAGCAGTCCTAAAGCGAGACAGGAGGAGATATGATAGTGCATTTCATAGGATGAACATTGCAAAACATCACCTGGCTATTTCTGATTGCCTAGTAGCTCATGTTTTGGTTTAAACGTGACAGGGTTATATTTTGCGGTCCAGATAATTTGTTGAATTTTTAGTGTCTTTTGGTGTTTAAACTAAAGGTAAAATTTAAACTAAAAGTAAATATATATTTATGATATATATATTTACTATATATGATATATATATATATATATATATATATATATATATATAGTATAATATATAAAATCGTCGTGTGTATATATGTTCCCTATGAACTCCAAAACGGTTGTAGCGATTTTGATACAAATTTTCAGGCAATCTTCAAGATTAGCTTAACGGGTGATCCTGTGAAGTTTAGTAGCGAACGAAAGTTTGAAAGCGGACCAAAATGCTATTAATGTATAAATCAGATTTGAAATATTCTGTCGTCATCTTGTAGCGTAGCTACGATTAAAAGAGGCGTAGCAGTTAAACATACATATGTTAGTAAATAAACCACCTGAACGAATTGCAGAAAAACTAGTTATAATATCTTCACACATTTCTTTTTATGATAAAACTAGCGAAACTAGAAAAACAAAAGCAAATCTATCCCTCGGGAACCGTATATTTTTCCGTGATAAACAGTAGCCTATGTATTATTCCAGACTATAATCTATCTCTGTGCCAAATTTCATCAAGATCCGTTCAGCCGTTCTGGCGTGAAAGAGTAACAAACATCCATACTAACAAACTTTCACATTTATAATATTAGTAAGTATAGATTTCCTTAAATAAGCATATTAATAACAAGTGGCCATCTTCGATCCATTCTACATTCTAGACTCGCTAGGTACTTAATATTTCTATAGAATTTTCTTAAATATTATAATAGGTTATGATGATCTGAAAAACTTAGATATAAATATTTTTACAACCAATAGGTAATAAAAGAAATAAAGTAATATTAGATTTAAATATATATTTTTTGTTTTTTACAGGACCAATGTGGAAAAGTACTAATAAACAACCCAAATCCTCTGGTAGTTTTGGGCAAGCCGACTTATGAGGGACAGTGGCCATGGCAAATAGCTTTATATCAAACACAGGTAAGCGAATGTAACAATATTATAAATAAAGTAAAATACTCTTTATCTATAAATATAATAAAATTGTAACTAAGTCGAATCTGTGTATTAAATATTTTTTGGAAAATCTAATTGAAATAGACATTATTATCGATACAGAGTCCGAATCTATAGTTTTTAGAATTTTTGTCTGTCTGTCTGTTACCGCATCATGAGAAAGCCACTGGACAGATTTTGATGAAATTTGGTATGAAGATATCTGGTTATCCGGGTCAACATATAGGCTACTATTTACAGCGGGAAAATATCTCATTTCTGAGAAAAAATACAAAAACTGCATTGTAAGAGTCATTAATATGTAAAACCTAAGAATTTGGTTTTTGGCCATGTGAACGCGGGCGGAGCCGCGGGCAATGCTAGTACGAAATAAAATAGCAACGGTTTTAATGTTTGAACACTTACTTAAATCACGTAACAATGGAGAATGGCTATAGATTTCAATGAAACTTTTTATATTCTCAAGGAAATGCCTTAGGTACTTAAGTATAATTTATATTTTTATTTACATCAATTGAATAACTCTATAGACCAAACATAAGTTCATCATACAGTAGATACGGAGTCATATTTGTAACGCAAATTGCAATAGACAAGCGGGCAAAACCATCCGACATGACCATAGTTATTTTACACCACCCATACTAATATTATAAATGTGAAAGTGTGTTTGTTTGTTTGTCTTTCTTTCACGTCGAAATGGAATGACGGATTGGCGTGAATCTTTGTATGGAGATAGTTGGAGGGCTGGAGAGTGACATAGGCTACTTTTTATCGCGACAGATTATCTCACCCCTACGGGAAAACAGGTTATAATACAACCAAAAAAAAATACCAAAATTACTTGCAACTTGGTATTAATGCTATTCAATACAATTAAAGAAATGCGTGTTTTAGCATTTTTTGAAATTCATCCCATAAGGCGATAAAATATAAAACCTAACCTACCTTTGTAAGAGTTCTTTCTTGGAGTTTTAGCGCGAGAAAAGCTGCGGGTTCTGCCAGTTAAATATAATTTCACTTTTCAGTCAGTAGACAGCAAGTACATATGCGGCGGCACGCTTGTGACGCACAAACATGTAATCACCGCCGCTCACTGCGTTACACGCAAGGGGTCCACAAAAACCGTAAACAAAAACACCCTCACTATTTATCTGGGGAAACATAACCTGAGGACTTCTGTAGAGGGAGTGGAAATTCGACTGGTATGTATAACACTATATCTTCCTACTTGTATTCTTGTATTCAGCCCTTTTCAACTTCCCACTGCTGGACACGGGCCTCCCTTCAATACGATGGGGACCAAGCCATCCACACTGGCCAAGTGCGGGTTGGCGGACTTCACATGTCTTTCGAAAACTGGCTAGGTTCTCTCAGACATGCAGGTTTCCTCACGATGTTTTCCTTCACCATAAGGCAAGTGGTAATCATGTTAGAAATGATTCGCACATGAAAATATCAGAGGTGCGAGACCCGGGATTTGAACCCGCTCCACTCGGTTTCTCAAGCGAGCGCGTTACCGCTGGGCTACCACTGCCTCTAACTTCCTACTAATATCAGATATCTCCATCTTTTCCTTGACTTTTTCCGACACTAGGGACTTACCCTAGCTTCAGTCGAGTGCGTCCCTAATAAAAAAAAATATGCGTGATTTTTTTTTATATACAATAGCTTACATTGTTATAAAGTTGTAAAAAAATATCCAGCTCCAAAATAATTTAGTAAAATTAATAATTATTATGATACTTTAAAGTTTAAACGCCCGCTATTTCGCACGCTTGGCCTAACGTCACAGTATATCGTACATAGAAAAATAACGACTCAATTTGTAACGCTAATCGCTAATCGCTCTATTATATTTCGCAGCTTCATTCTTTGCGATTTAATTTACAATTTGTAACTAGTCCCACGCGTCAGCCATCCACGGATATTTAGAGAGTAGTCAAAATATTTTTTGACTACCCTCCACCAAGTTACCTCACTCCGGTATATGTCATCATACTTCACGATATATTTTTATTTCGCTATTCTAAAAGAGTTGGGTTTATAAACCTGGGCAGGATGTAAATAAAAAATAAAATAAAATAAAAAAAGTAGGCCTTATTTATTGTTAGGATATTTGTAAGGAACATTGTTAGGTACATACAGTTCTAGTAATAAAATATATTTTATCCTTACCAACATAGAATTGTGGATCTCAAGCTATTGTGATCCAAGGTTTACAAAAAAATAATGATTTTTGACGACTACAGTATCCTATATCGAATTCTGTTGCCTTCTGTTGTAAAACCTTCCTGTCTGTAGCAGAGTCGACAGCGTCAGGGGAATATATATATTTAGAGTTTTTGTCTGTCTGTTTGGGAACGCATCACGAGAAAATCACTAGACAAGTTTTGATGAAATTTGGTATGATGATAGCTGGTTATCCGGGTCAACATATACATAGGTTACTTTTTACTGCGAGAAAATATCTCATCTCTGAGAAATATATACTAACCGTATAAATTTTGTTTAAAGTAAAATGACGATATATTAATGTATTTGCAGGTAGCAGAAATAATTGTCCACCCTCTATACAACGCCACTTCCTACAGCCGAGATGCCAGTATCTTGACGATGAGGCAACCTGTAGATTACACTGATCATGTCCGACCTGCCTGTCTGTGGCCTGAGAACCAAATTGACTTAACCAACGTAATCGGAAAAAGGGGTTCGGTAAGTTATAAGAATAAAACAATTTATACAATTTTATTTATCTGATTTTGCACGGTTATTGCAACATTATGGCTAACAGGATTTTAATATCCTTTCTAAGTATATAATACTGTATTTATGTATTCAGCCCTTTTTAACGTCCCACTGCTGGGAACGGGCCTCCCTCCAATACGACGGTGATCAGGCCATAGTCCACCACAATGGCCGAGTTGGCGGAATATAATACTACTTTACATGTAATTTAAATAAGCTTCACGTTTCATTTTATCTTTTGAATCAAATAAACCAATTTTCTATGGGTGGTGGATAGTTATTCACATAGACATTAGCGGAAGCGAAATGAAAAGTACAATTTTATGTCCCCTAAAAACTGCATATCTACACATATAATAAAATTGTAACTAAACCGACTCTGTACATTAAATATTTTTTGGAAGATCTTATTGAAATAGACATTATTATCGATACAGGGTCCGAATGTATACTTTTTAGAATTTTTGTCTGTCTGTCTGTCTGTTACCGCATCACAAAAAAACTACTGGAGGGATTTTGATGAAATTTGGTATGGTGATAGCTAGTTATCCGGGTCAACATAAAGGATACTTTTTAACGCGGGAAAATATCTTATTTCAGAGAAAAAATGCAAAAACTGCAATGTAAGAGTATACTTATATGTAAAACCTAAGAATTTCGTTTTTGGTGATCTGAACGCGGGCGGAGCCGCGGGGAATGCTAGTTCTTAAAATAAAATACTCATATTTATAATAATACTGGCACCATTAAATGAAAGTTATATTACATTCTTTAAAAAAGAATAAAAGCAAAATAAAATATTTTATTCTCACAGCTATAGGTACACATATTGAAATAAAAATTCTAAACAAATCCCAAAGCGTTTCAATTAAAATATTTATAATTCAACGAGAAATTCGATATATGAAAACAATTCAAATAACAAAATAATTCTCGCAAACAAATAACTGTATGAATTATGAACAAATTGGGCAATACCAGCGGTAACGACATAACGACGTAACTACGAGTATCTGCAATGTTGACGCAACCTGTTCAATTTGCAAATGGAGCAATTTTATTATTATTTCCAAAAAAAATATGGTCATCACAGTATAGTAGCGTCTCGCTTAGGGGTCGTGGGTTCTAAGTACGGATTGATACCTTCATTTTGATCTTTTAATAGAAAAAACTCGAAATTAAATAGTAGCTGCATCTTGATTAGGGGTAGTGGATTCTAAATGAGGTAAATAAATATATTGGGAAATTAACACAGCACTATCTAGTTCCTACGAGGCTCGTGTCATGGATACCAGCTAGTTGATACACTACACATATATAACTTTAAATACAAACATATTATAAATATAAACACCCATGACTGGAGTACAAACATTCGTGCTCGTCACACAAATGAATGCCCCCGGCGGGACTCGAACCCGCGACCGCTGGTACAGCAAGTAGGGTCACTACAAACTGAGCCAAATGTCGTCACAGTGGATAGAGTAGGTATATAACTTAGTTTTGATCTTCTAGTTGAAACAACTTGAAAATGTCTAGGCAACATGAGAAATTTAATGTAGGTACAAATTATCGTCAATTGTTTACGAAAAAACGGACCGCGGAGGCGGACGGACAGATAAGGGATTAAGAGATGATAAGCTTACCGATTCAGATTATCGATCTAATTTTTCGGATTCACTAATAATAAAAAGAAAATAAAATTAAAGACGTTCTCCATACCTAATGTATTTATTGTCAAAAAAAGCAAATTAATCTATGAAGTTTTTCAGTCGTAATATTGTGTAATTCTGTACTAATTGTAAATGCGAGTCTGTTTGTTTGAAGTCGTCCCTTTGTCAGGATTATATGTATAAAATTTATATTAAAACACAATAATATTTTATTTTAATATTTTTCCAGGTGGTAGGTTGGGGCTTTGACGAGACAGGAGTGCCGAATGAAGAACTTGCTTTAGTAGAAATGCCGGTAGTCGACACTGAAACATGCATCAGATCTTTCAGCGAATTTTTCGTCAGATTTACTTCGGAGTACACATATTGCGCCGGATACCGAGACGGTATGTAAAATAACTATATTCAAAGTACTAGAGTTATTTGAAAGTCAGCTCTGCTTTTCCTTTCTATTAGATCACATTAGTTCACTTTTCTTTTATTAAATTTATATATTATGCGCCTAGTTGTATTTTACTTACTTCTAATTTGGAAAATAAAATGTAGTTAAACACCATAGTAGAATTTTTTTTTATATATTTTCAAAATCCATTACCAAATTATTTGTATGACTAGCTATTAGCAGATACTTTTATAACTTACTCAGACCAAAATTATTGTTGTGCGGCCATCATTGATCTAGACAAAATATTTAATTATCTGTCAAAAATGTCAAGTGACAGACTAAAATCTAAATCATTCAACCATACATTCGTCACAGATTTTTCGATCTACGAAATTACTAATGTAACGTAATTTAAAAAAAAAAACAAAAACATGCCAACTTCTATTAGAAGCTATAAAATAAAGATAATGTAACCTAAATGTAATTTAGAAAGGCATTAAAAAGTTAACGACAGCGCAACTAACAAAACAATTATTAGATAACTTTCCATGTTTATTCCAGATCCGAACAACGCACGAACCGGCGTTAGGAAAAGTATGTTTCACATAGAATTACTCTGGCTTCTTTGTGTAGATAATTAAATCGCTTTCCTTTTAGAAGTTCGTTTCTTATAACTATGCCTTAGCTGGCATTTCTCACTCTCACTCACCATTCCACTAATTTTCTTTAAAGCTTATGCTTATCAATGGATATTTTAATAGTTATAAAAAGCCTGATGATAACCTTATAACATTCAAAATGTGTTCTTTTAAACTTTTTCTTGTGTGCTTTTCTAGAAACTTTAAAACCATATCGGAACATAACAATCTATGCAAAGAAAGAATTTATTTGGATCAATTTATATTAAAATGTGAATATAATCTGTGCAAAATACTTACTTTAACTAAATTGTATATTATATGAAGGAAAATTTAGTATGGACGTCAATTATTTTAACTAAATTATAGATTATATAGAGTTTTGTATGAACGTCAGCATGGAAATTAGCTAGTGTTATCATTAACAACAATAATTTATAATATGGCTAAAATGGCGTTTTAGTGTTACAACTGAAGTTAGCAGCAAGTAACATAGCAAGGTGAAGTGTGCCGTTATTCATAATAAAAACGACCGTAAATATGTAATGCATATATATGTTTAATTATTAAATGTAAAATCGTCTAATCTTCAACCTAATCTATATTAGCGTCTTTAGTGATAATGTCGTATGTCGTCGATCTTTCTAACTTCACTCCATTAGCTTAAATGAAACATTTTATCTTTCTCCAACTAAAATAATTACTTTCATAAAAACTATGATAATAAACACGATGCACTTTGATTATATTCACATAAATTACTTATTTTTTAACAACATAACAGAACTAAAATAACAATTATGATTTGATTCAATATTATAGATTAAAAAATTATTTCACAGGTACATCCGTGTGTAATGGTGACAGCGGAGGCGGCATGGTGTTTGATATGGGAAACACATGGTACTTACGAGGTCTCGTCTCCCTCTCGGTTGCGAGACAGAATGAATACAGATGTGACCCCACTCACTATGTCGTGTTTACTGATCTCGCAAAATTCTTGCCTTGGATCAAACAAAATATCAATAACTTTTAATAATTTTTTTAATAAAAATCTTCTTAAAGTGTCTACGTGTTGATATTCTTAATCTGTCTAAAGCCGTTGAGTCGGCCATTTTGTTGAACGATAATTACAACAATGGCGGTTGACATATCCGTCCAATTTTAATGAAATTAGCTTTTATTCTATATTTTTTATATATTTGTTTAGTTTTTGTTTGAAATAATATAACTTTTTTACTTTATTTAGACTGATTTGTAAATAGTGCCGCATCACATGTCATTCTAATTTGAAAAGATTTAAAAATTTGACCATTAATTAATATGGAGTTTTCATACTATTTTATAAAATATTACAAGGAATGTGATACGGCAGTATAGATAAGTTAACATGTATTGAAAATAAAAATCATTAGAATATTATAATTTTTTAATAAAAAAACAAAGTATTTTTGTTTCCTATATATAATACAAACTTATACAACAAAAACAAACAAAACCTTTTTACAGACCTACTCGTAGTAGGAAAAAATGGGACCGTTAGCCCAAAAACGGCCTAACCCACACATAATAATAAAAAAATGAACAATTTTTAATATAAATTGATTCATATGTAATTTTTGTATAGCTAATCGTAGGTAGGTGCAAATCTTGTATTTGCTTTTTAATATAGGTCCATTTTTTTATTAAACTTCTTAAAAAAATTAAGCCACTTTTGTACCGTCCGCCATAAATAAAAGTACAAATACACAAAACTAAAATAATTCATTCACTGAATAAAATATATTCGTTTAAGAGAAAAAAAAAATCTAAAAATTATAAACCCCTTGACATATGAAATCCTTACATAGAAAGAAATGAAAAAAGTTCATTAACACAACTAAAAATGCAAATTTAAATAAATACCGCAACAATTCAGTAAAACAAGCAAATGAACAACCTCTTAAAATAAAATTGTATGGAAATCCAATTAATTATTATTATTAATTTCAGAAAAAAAGTTAAAATATTTTAGATTTAATCTGGTCTTTAAATTTCAAAAGTGACTTGGCGTTTGAAAATACACCATTGCATGAATTCTACAAAAAAAAACCATTTAAACCAATTGGACTTGATATAATAAATTATGTGGATATGTATAAAGATATATAAAATACCTCACGTAAGTTGACCTACAATTGGTTATTAACACCAAACCTTCGGTTGAAGGTTTCGTTTACGATCTTTAACCGGGAAAACGGTTTTTGATGAATTTAGGGTCCATGACAAAATTTACCGGTTATAATGAGTTTTTGTGTGTTTACATTTGGCGCGTCTTTGCTAATGGTGAATTGCTTAGTAGAAGGATGCATATGCACGTTTTTTACTTATGAATGAATTAACCGGTTTATTTCGGTATTATATCCGAAATCCAACATTTCTTCGCAAGAATCGAAGGCGAAGACTAAAGAAATATAGGGGAAATGCGTGTAATACGATCCCTCGAGGTAAAATGATTCCCCACCGTATACGAATAACTACTAGCGACATCAATCCAAATACGCAACAAACGCCATCCCCGCAATTTCTCCAGTTGCCTCTCCGAGTGTTATGGCGGTGTGAGCACTTACCGTGATTTTATTTAAAAAAAATTAAAAAACGTGCTTCTAACCTATGGTAAGTCTATTTTTCGAGTTTCATTAGTGTCTGTATGTTAAGATTTATTGAAATATTGTTTTATTGGAGGATTCCATTAACGTTCAGGTATATTTAAGCAATGTTTGAATACCGCACGTTGTATTTAAAGAGTATATTTTTATCCATGTCTTGAAATTTGGTGTTTGAGGTGAAATGATCCCTCTTCGTGTGCATAAAACGATCCCTGGAATCATATTACCCCATTAGTATCTTTAAAAACTTTTATTTAACTTGTAATGTATGTCTGTATGTATATATGTATGTATGTTTGTAAAGGTCAAATTTACATTTGACCTTAATTTGAACGTTAAATTTGACCCACTTTCCGGTGTTCGATTGAGCTGAAACTTTGCATACTTATGTTAGTCCGGTGATAATGCAATATTATGATACCATCGAGCTGATCTGATGGTGGAGCCAGGGTGTAGAGACTGGAACTACTTGATGGCAAATGGTAGGACAGTTGGATTTAGGCTAGCACTTTTTTATCATGAGAAATTTCCATTACATATGATGACGAGGGTTTGAAGATGAAGCTAAAAAATTGCCACTGGAACTCCGTTTTTATATCATATTAATTGAATAACGTAATAAATTGATGGGTTTGATTTGTTTTAAACTTTATTTTCTTCTTTTTAGAGGATTTAAATTAAAGCTTGTTTTTAAAAAAGTTTTTTTACTTTGAATTATTATTTTTACAGATCATGCCGCGAGTTTACAAACGTAAACCCATTCGCCAAAATTGGCCTGAGGAACAGTCTCTATTGTTTTTTTAATTATGAAGAAGAGTTTATTTGTTTATTTATATTTTGTTAGTTATGTAAACCCTAAAACGTTTGTTACAATCATAATCAAAATCATTTGTTACAATCATAATAAAAATCATTTTAACCCTTCTCAGGGATCGTTTTATACACATGTATGTATAAAACGATCCTTTACTAAACTTTTTTTTAAAATGACAAAACTAATAAACCACATACAAATCATCACAAATAAGTATGCAGTTACAAAGATAAGTAAATTTACTATTCTTAAAAATTTAAATCTTGTGTTTTTGTCTAAAACTTTGAACACAGTAAAGATCATTTTGCACGCATCTCCCCTAAGGGTTCTAACGTAATATTTGCACTACTATACAAGTTCAACTTACGTAATGCATATTTATTATACCTATTTCTGTACTTTCCACTATAAATTCTTTTTATGGATGTAATTGTTTTTTTTTTAATATTTGAACATTAACTTAATTTAAAAAAATCAGTTGATGGTTTAGAAATTATAGCATGGATGACTTTACACATATTGCAATAAAAAAAAAGTTATTACCTATGTAAATGTATTTTTATTACTATTACTCTTTTATTATTATTACTCCTTTACGAACTTTACCACACATTAAATAAAACTGTACCACTTTTGGAACTTTTAATCACAAATCCCCAAGCAACCTTAAACAGATAATTATAGCGTAATCTAATAAAAAAAAACAAACAACTACTACTAACCTTGCATATTATCTATCTCACTGAGCCTCACTATATAGAATATAGTTCATTCATTCGCTCATTCATCTTTCTCAAAACGTCTTGAACAATAATCCATTCACTATAGGGATCCTTTTTCATATATTTACAACTTGAAATAAAACTATTTCACCAATACGGCCCTGTGCCATTTCTACATCGCTGCCCTTTTAACCTTTCATCACCCCCAAACCCTTGACCCCATGGGAAATTCCTGCCACGACCAGATCTAGGGGTATTTTTGGGGTAATTAGGTTGGTAACCCATCCTGTTATTGACGCAAACGCCTGGTCTGCATCCATTTCTTGGCGTATTTGGATTGCTTCCCGGTAGTGGGGGAGCAGTGAAACCGTCCCAGGAATCAGGCATCATACAGTTACCGCAGGCAAATGGCATATCTCCTAAAAATTTAAAAATGAATAAGTTTTATCTATTTATTTCGAAAATTAAATTACGCTTTTTATTTAAAGAAAAAATCAAAATATGTGTAAATTAAAAGGAAAAACGCACGAATATTGTATTAAATAGTTTTTGTACATAGATCAATTATTAAAAAAAAAAAAAAAAACAAAGATATGGGATAAAAAAATCTGACATTCTACAGATTAACAATAAAAATACAAGCATGTTTAATAATATTTATTTTTACAAGTCTACCATTTGGCCAAAGTTTGGAAGAATACTTTTACATTTTTCGTTCCCTCATCACGTCGTCGTTTAGTTTACAAAATCACAAAGAATAGCTACCAGTGATAAAACTAAGTGCATGGGTAAAAATTTAAGGTTTTTTTTTTATATTTTATGAGGCATCACATAGCAAATTGAAATGACATATTAAAAAAATCGTAATACACTATATTGCTAGTTAGCACTTATAGCTCTGCTAAGTTATTAGCTCTATTATTCTTTTCACCACTTTGAATCTCGTCTTATTTAAGTAGTGTTTGACTCAAACTAATATAGACAGAACCAGCGAAAATAAATGTCAAAGTCAGAATTATTAGCGTAATTTGCTGTATAAGCTACTATTCTTGATTGAACCACACGGATTGTTTACTTTAAAGAACAAAAGAATTTCTATATATTATGTATGTATCAATTATGTTAGTATACAATTTTTGGAAAGAAACTATGAATAATAAAAGTAATACTATATTCTTTTGTATTTTTAAGCATTAGTTTTCTTCTATTGCAAAGAGAGATAGATAATATGAGTTTATTAAAACTATGGTTTGACTTCATATGATGACTTCAGTCATCATATGAACCATTTAGTCAGAAAAGAGATAGAATCATTTGCTGTCTCACTAGTATGAGACGTAAATCGTACTGTCATGAATCAATGAGGTATTTTTGACTAATTGGACTGAAATTTATAGCAGCTGAAATTATTTCTAATAGTTTTTTCTATGCCACATATTATGAGAACCCACAAACAATATAGAAATATTACATCAAAGCTATTTTATACCTCATCTCAATTTGCCACTGACATACATATATATGTATCTATGTATGTACATAGATACTTAAAGATTAAATATAGATGGTGCTAGCAACTAAGAAAAAACTTAACTAAGACTTTATTCAAAACAAACACTAACGTTTAACTATTCATTATAAAAATGATTTTAGACAGTGTTGCTACTTAACACATTTCGATTGAGATATACATATTTTAGGGCGAAATTGTAGTTAAATATTATGAGACTACGGTGTATTGAAATGACATTCTAATATTATTGATTTTTAAAAATAATAATTAGATATAGATAAGAAAATAATTTTAAAAACATTTTAAAAATATATTGCATATTATGGAAATTAATTAAAACGTTTAATAATTATAACTATAAGAGATAACACTAAGAAACTACACAGGGATTACATTAAAATAGAATCGTTGACTTTTTTAATAGCAATTTTAAAGCTCAGGGCTGTAAAATACTTATTTAAAAAAAAAAAATATTCTAAAAATCTACACTGTTTTTCTTATTGACTTATTATAATCATGTCATTTTAAACAAAAAGATTTCGTTGTAATAAAAAAATAATCTAGAAATTTCTAATCGTCTCACATTTGTCGATCTACTCCATTTTAATGCAATTAAATATATTTATAATAGTTTTTTTTTTATTAAAACGTACGTCTCTTAATGTTTTAAAATTTCAAGAACATACATTAAATACTTCAAAAATATCCTTACCATTACATAATATACGTGCTATCAATTCTTGAATATTTTAGAAATTTGAAGGACTTTTAAGTATTTGATTTCAACGATTTTATAAGTTCAACTTGCTCTTAAGAGACAATCTACATCGATAATCTGCTAATGTAACAAGAAATAATTATTTTAATATATAGAAAAAAAAACGTCATTAGTAGAAAACGTATTAAATTTTGAAAAATTTAAATTTGAAATAGTGCAGTCCCGGATAAACATATTATACATAGTATGTATATATACATATATGTATATATTTACGTACGTATGTAAATATAAAACGTCTTAATAATCACAAGGCCAATTATATCGTAAAGCTATGACAAAAGTTTTACAAAGCCAGTAACAATAACTAGACGTAAGTTTTCGTATTCAAATCGATACCGACCTAATAGATTCTCAATTCTCGATATCATATCGATTAAACATTAAATTGTTAAATGACAAATGAACTATCCTATAAGGAAATTATATGTATACAGTATGGAATAATACGAGACATTCTATTACAATGATATACAATGGATTTGTTGAGCTACAAAATTTACTGCAACAGTGTTACCACAGTATAAAACTCCATACAATAGGCGATCGTCTTTGATTTTGACGGAAATGTTGCCAGTAAAATTTCTCAAAGATAAATCAAATCAAAATATCAACTTTTTAACAACTTTTTAACAGTGAAGACATTAAGGCGCTATAGTGGCCGTCGTGGCAGGGTACCTGTTAACGCTAAATTCCTTTCTCGACTGTCATATAAAAGTGAGTGTGACAGTCGGGTAGACCGTCATATAAGCAAGTGTAACTCTGGGTTCATACTGCGTTGTCCTGCACATTTTTAGCCGTATATGTCTTAACGAATACAAAGTGGCACATACATTGTATATAGAACCGTTCACACGTCTCTTGTACTGCAAAAAATCGTATATACGTTTATACGTTTAAACGAATACACACCGGACTTGCAAGCAAATTTGGGTTGGTTTGCAGTGGCGCATAGTTTAGCTCTGTCTCTTTCACACGGCACGAAACTGCTGGTGCCTTCGATAACAATATAAAATAACAACCAAGCGTGGATTCATAACACGTCTACTCACTATGACAACGTGTGAAAACTGCGGATATTCGTTTTTACACGAATGAAAATCTATTTTTTTTATTAGAAATGGGCTCACTCTTGACCTTTATCTTAGCTCGAAGGCACAGATAAGGTCTACGATCTAGCGAGTTTGCCCAGGAGAAGCCTGTTAACACGCACCTTAAATAGGTTCAGGTTATACGCACTCGGAAAAACAGACGCAGGCAGCGCATTCCACATCTTGGCTGTGCGCATTATAAAAGATGACGAATAGCGCTTAGTGCGAGTGGTCGGGATGTCAACCAAGAAAGGATGGTATCCTGCAGTACGTCTGCTGTTCCGATAGAAGAATGGCGATGGCGGTATGAGACTGTGGAGCTCGTGGGCACACTCCCCGAAGTACAGTCTGTAGAAAACCGACAGACAAGCAACTTGGCGACGGTGTGCTAAGCTGTGAAGCTTAGTTTTCACAAGCTTTTCGTCGCCGATTAGCTTTTTAGCTCTGCGTTCCACCGAGTCAAGAGCGGCTAGTTGGTATTTTGCAGTGCCATCCCAAAGGTGACTGCAATACTCCATGCATGATCGGACTTGAGCTTTATATAATGAGAGAAGCTGTCCAGGCGTGAATTATCGCTTAACCTTGTTAAGGATGCCCAGTTTCTTGGCCGCAGTCTGTGCCTTCGACTCGATGTTGTCGCTAAAGTTAAGATTTGCATTTAACCTTATGCCGAGAAGCTCTAGACTGTCGGAAATCTCTACAGGTGTACCACGAAAAGTAGGAGTCAAGCTGAACGGACTCCTTTTTGCGGAAAATAGACAGGCTTGCGTTTTGGCGTTGAAATCGACCAGATTGTCATCACCCCAATGTGAGACAAGACTTAAGGTCGCATTTGTACGCTCTACCATGGCCTCTCTCAAAGTACTTATTAATACCCCTCCGTCCCTTGCACCGGGCACATAGCTCTCTATGACTGTGCTGTCATCTGCATATGCAACAATACCTGTTGAAAGTAGGTCATTGATGTGTAGCAGGAAAAGAGTCGCAGAGAGAACAGACCCCTGTGGAACTCCGGCATCCTACCGTGTGACATCCCGGCTAAATGTACGTTTATAATCGAATACAAAAAAATCGTGCAGGACAATGCCCTGTGAACCCAGCCTGACAGTATAGCAGTCTTACCCACGTCTCCCTTCGCACGTCACACACGATCACCCAGTCTAGACTAAATACATGACTAGACTCTTGTATTGTTGTCTAAAATTAAAACATCTATTCATCCCTATATCAGTAATGTTATTGTTATTTAAAAAACTAAATATTATGACAAATTCATTGTATATCACGTTATATAAAACTAAAACTAATATTTAGTAACAATGAGCATCGACAGTATAATACACTTAGAAAATACGCGTTATTAGGCACAATTCACTTTCATAAACTAGATCTAGCATACTATAGTACCTAAATTCCGCTGTATAGTGCGAAAAACTTTCTAAATGACATATTTTATACATATATATTATATGTAACATATATAGTATATAAATATACAATAGATATAAGAAAGAGTATTTCGCACTAAACAATGTTTACGGGTACGTGTCTACTTCCTCGTTAGTTAGTATATTAAGACTTTTTTTTTAATTTATCAACTAATTTAGGGTAAGGCGTTTGTACTGGGTGCCAGAACCGAAAATTAAAAAAAAAACAAACAAAACCTCCTTTCAGCGGGACTTTTACAATTTTTATTGAACATAGATAAAAAATATTAAACACTTTTTTTCTGGTACCCACCACAGATGCAGAAGGAAGTTAAAGTTAGGAACAATCGAGAACAACACTTATAGACTTCGAAGTAACTACAGAACATATGAATCACCGTTGCATATTGTCAATGTAACGACTCGAATCGGGAAGAACAATGCCATAATAAATTGACATAAGTTACTATAACTATCTATGTACATGCAAACAAATTAATATTATCGCAATCTTTTTATCGTAAAAGAAGAAAAGAGACAAATATATATTTACATAGAGAAAATGCATAGACTATAATATAACCATAGAGTATATCACATTGTTCCCAATGACTCGAGCCTTCCAATTATATAGCAAACCTAACACAACACAATAACTAAAAATATGACGAGAAATCTTTAAAATGCTACGCATACAAATACTATTCGATGATTTCAACACAATAATAATATCGCATAAACTTCATATATTATATCTATAACCGAGAAGGCAACCTCTTTTCTATTGACAATAATATATTTAAAAAAAACACAACACCAATAAATTAATGACGTTTAAAATTAATTTAAAATATTTCTTTGTATTTTCAACTTATAGCTTAAATAATAACAAAACTATAATATATGTAATAATATCTTAACAGTTTATAAAAATAAAATTCGTCCAGAATAACTTTCTATACAAATTATATGGCAACAAATTCCCTTTCACTGTGACACGTGAAAGTGTTGCCAACATTAAATGTATATTAATAAATTATTATTATCATTTGTATTATTAATACACAAACAAACGACGAAGCGAGCTTGAATATAATAACTTTTAACTTCTGTTTAACAGACTATTTAGGTACGATCTATTGAGCACATCGTGTGGTTCATAAGCCATTACCTGGCAACACCGTTGGCCAATTATATTGTACAACACTAAAAGTTTGATCATTCAAATAATCCTAGCCCATTAACTGTCTATATTATTAAACAAAATGGCCGACGGTATTGCACAGAATCAATAAATTGACATACGAACAAATTATGTTTAAAACTTAAGACTTTTCATAGCTATTTTATTATTTATATATTACATATATTTGCTACCTAAGCTAACAGTACATGTAAGAATAAGATCCTTGTTCAAAATATATTATCATAGACTATGTATAGTATAGAAGCGCTAAAATGATGACAATATATGTATTATAAATTTAACTATTAGAACTTTAAAAACAAGAGCAGAGATTTTTTCTAGACCATTCTAAACACTTTGTATTACCTAAACGAAAAATTTAAAGATTTTACATTTTTTTTTAAAATATCGAATTTTGTGCTGAGTTATCGGTTATCGGTCCCTTAGTTTTATTTTTAATGTAATACAATAAAAATATTCAATTGATTAAACAAAATATTATATTATTGAATTAAAATAAAGCCTTTGCTTTAAATTAAAAAGAAAATACTCAGCTTAAAATTTTTAATGGCAACCGATACAGATATATAATTAAAAAAAAACGCTAACTGTACATGAAAAAGTGACACTTCCCTATAACATTTAACTTTAGAACAAAGCCTAGGATTATAACAATGGTAGGGGATCTACAGCAACGTAACTTTAACATTTATTAAATTTCGCGTTGTGGGTAAAGCTCTACTATATTTCATTGCTTAAAACTACAAAATTTGATACTGCAACTGATAAGAGTCTACTGATAGAGAGTAAATACAAATTATTATTAAAGGCTTTCACATAAAGACTGGAATTTATGTTATTACCACTGGTAAATCTAAGCAATAAATTTTAAAATATTAAAAAAAAAACAACATACAATTAAATTAATAAAGTTTGACAATTAAAAAGTGACCAACTAGAAAATAATTACTAATCATATGTATTATTACGAAATTATTTTCTTTTAGATGAAAACGACAAAAAAATAAAAAACAATTCACTACAAAAAATATTGTACCTAAAATCCGAAATTATCATCACTATAACTAACAAAGACTATACCACATCTACAACAAACCCAACACTAATCCTTTAACCGGACAGCCCTTGACACACTAAAAAGAAACCAAAAAAAAAAAGGAACCACTATATAAAACATAACAGAGCACCCACAACACAATCAGTCAATGGCAAACGTCCACGCCTATATCCTAGAATCGGTTAGGCGGAACTTTTTACAGTACAGCCCTTTTCAAAACGGACGATGGTGCATCATATATGCCGGTTGGTAGTCACGTCTGTACCGAGTGGGAACGCTTTGGTGCATGTAATAGTCGTGGCGGTGCAACATGTCCAGTTGGTCGAGGCTGTGGTGCCTTTGTGGTACCATTTGCGGTACTGTCCGGGCAGCGTGAAAGGGTTCGTAATGTTAGTTTGGTGCCAAAATATACCAAGTCATAAAATTGAGGGTTTTCTCATATTGTTTGTCTGATACAAGCGTTTTGCGCAGCGATTAATTTTTTTATATATTAGCTTAAACATCGACAAATTAATTAAAAATTAGATCTTTTTAATTTAGATTTTTCTTTGTGCATTTTGTGAAGTGGTGCTTTCTTGTAATAATATAACCTATATTAACTTTATTTAAACGTTGGCAATACATCCATATATGTATACTTAGATATTTTTATAAAATAGAATAAAATCATAAAGACTTCCCAAGTGTTCGCTATAACTCGTAATAAGTGAATTTAACTGGTACTGAACATATTGTGTTATTATATTATTTTCTGCAAGCAACAAACATCATGGAATAAAAAAAAATATTTTATTTTTTTTATTACCCCAAAGTAAAGAACTCTTTCCAATCGTAGTCATTATCACTAAATCACACAACCACAAGAAAATATTCGTTTAATTTAATTTTCGGCTAACAACTGTCAATTAAGTGATATAACTCTAAAAAAACAGTATTTACATATTACTCGCACTATATATATTCCATTGAAAAAAAATTGTGAATGTTAGTATGAGAATTTATAAGCAAAAACGTAAAATAATTATCTTCATAAATAATAGAAGCAATCTTTTTTTGCATTTTTTTATATATTTTTTTGTTTTTTTTTTTTTGAAAAAAAGATGGATATTTAAAAATCCTTACCCCTATTGTGATGAAATCCCGCCGCCCATCCGGCGTAATACGCAGCTTTCTGTTTTCCATGCTCTTCCGCTACCTATTTGAATAAAATATATTTTTTACATCTCAAATTCAAAGTAAAGTCAGTTTAATTGGTATTTTAAAGGTTTTTAATTAGCAAATTAAAAATAAAAAGCATCAGTTATCTTTAAGCTACAACCAAATGGTTAAGCAAAGAAAATCCAGAATAAATGTTTTTTTTTTCTTCAAAAGAGAAATTTACAAATAAACAAATGTTAATTTATAATAATCTCGTAAAATTCAAAAACTTTCTAACATTCCTCTTCCAAATTCATTAATAGACAGAAATATGTCAACAACGATTTCACGTTTATTCCGCATATAAAAAGCATGCCCACGACCATACCAATCATAGTCACAGATTCGATTCTAGCGTTAAACAAAATTTCTATAAACGAGTATATATTAATATTTAGTTACATTGGAAGGCACAAGGCAAAAGCACGCTTGGAGCAGTTACCTAATAACCAAAACCCAAGAATAGAAAATGAAGAATTGCAATTTTTCTATATCCTCTGTGCCTACCCCACAATACCATAGATTTTTTTTTAAATTAGGTGTGTATGGATTAGAAGATTTAAATATTAGCGAAATATGCTAGAACGGGAGTCTTAAAGCAAATTAAAAAAAAATACACCAGTACATTTTTCTATAAATCAAATATTCCTAGTTAAAATTTATCTGTGAGTTGTTTTCCATAATTAAAAAAAAAGCAATAATTAATTAAGACAAACAATTTTAGACTGTATTTCCATACAAACAAGCCTTACAGCAGCCTTATTTATCTTCAAATGAATTGACGTTACTTCATAGAATTAAATTCTTAACTTCGTTAAACCTATAACGATAATATTTAAAAGAAAATAGATTAAATTTCCGGCGTAGACATTATTTTTATAAAATCCAACCACGCAGTCTCTCCCATGACCATGATTGCTGTAAAGCATTCGAAACGTCGGGAACCAAAAATCAAAGTAAATCCACGAAAAAAATCCCGAAAAGATAGTATTATTTAAAATGTCAAATATTTGCATAAGTCTTAGAAAGTATCACGCAGTTTTAATCCATCATAATTCGCCCCGAGACTACTTTAAACAATTTTCGCATTCCTTTTTTATTACATACATATTTAGACCACACACACTCAAAAAAATCCATCTCATGACCAAATCATATTTTTTACATTATCCACAATAATATACCCTGTTATACCTGAAGAGTCTATACACACTAAATTTCAAAAACGCGCCAATAACACGCGTATCATGTACACACGAGCGCATATTCTGCGCTGATAAATTACAAAAAGCACATATTGCTTGCGATTGTTGATAAAAACACGCGACAAACGTTCGACAAACGCGCGTCGACGGCGCGTTAAAAAGTCAGTATGTATAGGCCCTTACATTCAAACTTATATGTTTATCTCGCACCGTGGTATCGCTGAGCAGGCGTCGCCGCGTGCTCCCATATGTAGTGACCGCACCCGTCTAATTTAGACCCCCCCACCAATAGGTAGCATGCACAGAGACAAGATCATTTTATAGTGGTTTCAAGAGTTAATAGTTCTACAAGTAACAGAAGTGGTAAAGCGAAAGCATTGAAGGGATTTTATACTGAATGAAATTATACAACGGAGGTTTTTTTTTAGTTAAGAGTTAATTGAAAATTGAAGAAAATATGCAAATGTAGGCCGAGAGATGACTGTTCGTTTACTGATACGAATCAATAACATTTATTTTTTTGCTTACAGTTTTATTTTTTTATTTTTTTTTTAATTACTGCAGCATAAATTACCGCAGTAATCAAACAATTATCTCTCACCACATTATATTCGAGGCAACATTAATAGCAACAGTTAAAATAGGAATAGAAACACTGAAGTAAACACGAAACGAAAACAAATTTACAAATAGAGAAACACAAAGATTTTTATCTATAAATATATAAATAAATATTGCAAACCTTAACACTGAGCGGTTCCGTCCCACCTTCGGGTATGACATTATTTAGAGCTGCTATAGCCTCTTGAGCCTCTTCTCGCTTATCGAATCTATGAAAAAAAAAACATTTTTTTTAATAATATTTGTACCTGAAAACGTTTTTTTTTTTAATTATTATTATTAAGACAGAGTTCTTGGTGGAGTATAAAAAACTACACCACCAAGTTATTAGAATTATTGTATTAATTAATCTATACAGATAAATAAAATTGAAGGTCTGTTGGTAATGTCAAAATAACAAATTTTTACTAAATACATACAAAAGTATATACGGGACAATTTACATTTGGTATGGAAATAGTTTTAGACCCTGGACGTACCTAGGGTCGAACTCGAGCTAAACGAGGGTGAGTCGCTAGTTTAAAATAAAGGAGAAAATATTTACTACTAAAAATTTATTTTTATAATATATACGTATTTAAAGTTCTATACATATGTGTAGTGTATCAACGATCTGGTATCCATAACACAGGCCTCGTAACTTACTATGGAACTATGTAGATACTTTTGGTTTCGGAGCGTTTTGAAAACTACTTGTACTAACTTAAAACTAAATAAAAATATAAAACAAAATGAGAGACGTGTAGCCGATTTGAGGCTCCTTTGTTCTCTAAGAATAATAATAAATAAATATGTCAGGACATTAACACACACCGCCATCTAGTTCCATGGTAAGATACGAGGCTTGTGTTATGCCGCGGGCAATGCTAGTGGATACTAGATAGTTGATACATTATACATATATAGCTTTAAATACATACATATTATAAATATTTTCATTTATGAACATTCTCGACCGGCGGATGCCGGGATAGAGCGGATGGACGAGGTGTAACTATAACTAGATGGTGTTGTGTGTTAATGACCCAACATGTTATTATTATTACATATTATTATTTACCTAACGAAAGCGACACCTCGCGGTATGCCATTACTCTTATCCCTCAGGATATGTTTTTGCACTATCCTTCCATATTTGCCGAATATCGTCTCCAGCTGGTCCTCGGTGATGGCGCGGGGCAAGTTCGTAACGTATAGGTTAGTATCCTTTATGTCGTCACCGGATGGACGGGCGTATGAAACCTGAAATCGAAAAAAAACGGTCAAGTCCGAGTCGAAGTCGCATACGGAGGGTTCCATACCATCGTACAAGATATAACACTACGTAATTTTTAACTAATAACAAAATTTTTTATTTATAGGATTGAACACGCTGACCAATACCAACTTATTATTTTTTTTATTTGTATGGCGGCCATTTTGAAATTAGCCATCTTGGTTTTTTATCATTTGTTCTATGTTGGCAATAGAAATACAAACTGTGAAAATTTCAACTGTCTACCTATTACGGTTCATGAGGTACAGCCCGCTGACAGACAGACGGACGGACAACGGAGACTTAGTAATAGGGTCCCGTTGACACCCTTCGGGTACGAAACCCTAAGAAATGGTTCTCACATTATTTTTCATTCTATCTCCGTCTCTTACGTGATAGCGTATTGTACACTTTTACATTAGAAATAAGTAGCTGGAACCTTTCGTGTGTTTATATGTATATAAAGATTACACATCTTTTTCACAATTATTTCACAAAAAAAAATATCAATCAAAATCCCGTTGATACATTAATAGTTTGCTAAACATCTTTTGAACTTTACCATTTCTTTAATTTTAAAAATGTTCTAAAAATATGTTAAAAGTTAAAATATTTCTTGAAAAAAATCATTAAAAATCACAAGTTTATTTACCTTTAACCGTTTATTTCTAAGTTGGTAGCCATTGAATGTATCGATAGCTCTTGCGGCGTCCTCTTCCCTTGTGAAATTAACAAACCCAAAACCATAGCTATAACCAGTCTGAAAATATAAAATTAAACTTTATTAAAATGGTATAAGAATCCAACTAAATATTATTTAAATAAATAATAAATAAATAAATATGTTGCGGCTTTAACACACAGCACCATCTAGTTCCATTGTAAGCTACGAGGCTTTTGTTATGGATACCAGATAGTTGATACGCTACACATATATAACTTGTAATACATACATATTATAAATATAAACACCCATGTGACTGGAGTAGAAACATTCGTGCTCATCACACAAATGAATGCCCCCAGCGGGACTCGAACCCGCAACCGCTGGCACAGCAAATAGGGTCACTACAAACTGAGCCAAACGTTCGTAAAAAAGATTTCTGCCGACCTTCTTTGGACAGTACGCTGTTACTTGAAGGCGAATTTTCCATGCGTCGAAAAATATACCACAGAGTCTATGAAATACTTAAGTATCCATTATTTGCGGTTTCACTTTATAGAAATGCGCGCTATTAGGTCTTTTTTGTACGCAATATTACATTTTTACTATACATAAGCTGACTAAATTATCGATTGAAATTTTGAAAAATTACTTAATTTGTACTAAACCTGTTGTTTAGAATATATATAAAAAAAATTGTTTATCGGTTTAAGACGTTTCTTGACCATTGATGGTAGATTAAATAGCTTTCAGAAAGTATTTGTTGAAAAGTTAGTTAACACCTCTTGGTAAATATCTAAGAAATTAATTAAATTTCTAAGAAATCTATTGATAACTGAAACGCCGCGCCGGCGTGTCCGCGGTCATGGAGGGATTAATAGGGAATATGCGTGATTTTTTTACAAAAAATTATACAATAGCTAACACCGTCATATAATTGTAAAAAAAATATCTAAATCCAAAAAACTAAAATTTAAAACACATCATATTGATACGGATACATTAAACTCCCGCGATTTCGCGCGCTTTTTTGCACATAAATTCGATAACCGATCTGTCAAAATAATACTTTGACGTCATATTCGGTCTGACCAATGGCGTGCGTTTCAACTACTTTGAATTTCCTACTTATTTTTGTACTTTTTAATAATTATCTTCTGAATCAAAAAGACATTATATTAAAAAATATTAATATAGGCTTAATTCAAAAAAAAATAAAGATTATAAAAAAAATATTTCACCTTTATTTAAATCACACGCATATTCCTTATTATATATAATAAAAAATCTGAATTTAAAAACGCAAAAAATAACCAACTAACCTTAAAATCCTTCATAACACGACAGCTCTCGATAGGTCCTATTGTCATGAACATGGCATATAGATCCTTCTCCGTCATAGTCTGCGGCAGGTAGTTGACTATCAGGTTCGTCCTCCCCGTGTCCCCGCCCGCGGAAGATATACCACCTCCTTCCGACATACTGCCCCAACACCTAACGCCGGCACCCACACGACCTCTATACTGTTGTTGAATTTGCTAAAAATGGAGAAATGTATGTTTTACATATTATTGATCATTAATTTGACGACACGTTTGGCTCAATTTATAATGACCCTACTTGCTGTGGCAGCGGTCGCGGATTTGAGTCCTGCTGGGGGCATTCATTTGGTGTGACGAGCACGAATGTTTGTACTCTTATGTATTTAAAGTTATATATATATATATATATATATATATATATATATATATATATATATATATGTGTGTGTGTGTGAAAAATGTATATAAACTGAATACCCATATTCTTGAAATAATAAAAAAATGTTAGAATTTTATAAATATGAATCTCTGTTTGTTTGTCTATAAGTTTGCAAAAGAGCACGTGAAGTGTTCTTCTCAGATAGAAATTAGGATACTGCGAGTAATTTCTATTATCCAAGACACAGGTATTTATTTATTTAAATGGGAAGCCAACGTTGTATACAATAATATTTCTTATTCTAGAGCACACTCTTAAGTATCTGTGATAGAAATTGTATACCTCACTTACAGGCTAACTCAATATGCATAACATATAAAGAAGAACGGAAAAACAATACAAAAGATTATTTGAAAGTAGTAATTTTAAAAACTTACATAACTAAAAAATGCAAAAAAAAAATAAGGACCACTAAAAAATTAAAAACTACTAAAATGTAAATAAACAATACGAACTATAAAATATTTCATTGATTTTGATGATTGATTGATTGATATTATAAGGTAATTAATTCTGGAAGCTTCTGACATTGAAATCTACTATTTTTTTCCTATCAACTTGCTGTTTATATGTTTATTTACACTAGAATGCATACATATTTCCAAAATATATCATTAATACTTGAATCGAATAGTATTAAATACACAACCAAACTTATTGGTATCTTCAGGGCACGTATATCCGAGAAGGCACTCGTTAAAATCACTTCAACCGAAAATTTAAATATAACATTTCCTCACTCCGCATAAAACCTCCTTTGTGCGCTTGATTAAAATTTATAAACAAAAATACCACAGAGTTTTTATCTGTTCTGACACAAAGACTACTCATAACAAGATTTTCAAAGTTACTTTCCATTTGATACTTCTTTTGAAATATTGTAGAAAATAATACTTATATATTTTCAACTTCATTTTATATACAATAAGGTGGAATCTTGAAATAGAACTTTTTTATTTTGGCGTCTGTCAATGTGGAATCAAGTAGGTAGTGTCGTGAAAATTCCGGAAGGAAAATAGATTAACGCATTGACATATAACAATAACATTGCCTTTTTTACCTATAAGCACTAAATTCAATTTAATCTTAAAATAGTAAATGAACAATTCGTGTATACATATAAAAATATTTCGTGCAGCTCGGAAACGACTAACGATTTGGATCACATTTGATATTTAAATAAGGTTTTGCGTCTTAAATTCATCTATAAAGGTGTATTTTCTAAAACAATACGATTTCACAAAAAAAAGCCGAGCGAAGCTCTATCGCCCAGGTACTACAGGCATGCTACATGTTTTTGTTAACAGTAGATGCCAGGCAATTAAAGTGAAAAAATATCTCACGAACAATCAAAATAACGACTTTGTATATTTTTTTCTTAAGTAGGCTATATATCCCTAGATTCAGTTATTCACATCCTGCTGAAAATTACCTAAACTTGTTTAGGTACTTACATGTTTTCACATTCTTAATTTAAACATAAAAACTACATAAATATACATTAATCTACAACACGTAACATTCGACAATAGATAGAAAAAAGGTTTCAATGAATTGAGAACCTCCTACGTATTAAAGAAGTCGGTTGAAAAGAAAGCAAAACAAAAACGAAGCAAAGACATTTAAAAAAGAAGCCGTAAACACAAAAACACCGGCAGCAAATAAACGAAGAAAAAAAAAGAAAGCAAATTGTTAACTCTAAACCCCTTCACAGTTACATAAAAACACACAAAAAGGCCTTCGCAAATTCAACGAGACCTTCAAAAACTCGCAACCAAATTCCGCATTACCGCATAACATGTCAATTCCAAAGCGTGCCGAAAACATTACAATCAAACGAAAAACTGGAGCGAGACCCTGACCTATAATAGTGTTAGTAGTATTTTATGCAACTTACTCGATTCACTAAGTGCCCGCTAAGAGTTGTAGGTGCTCTTAGCGAGCACTTGAGAAAGCTGATAGAATGATCGCCATTGTTATCAAAACAAAAGGGCGAATTTTACTGCGGGGTCAGAGAAAGGATTAAATTTTTGTATGGAGAGTTTTTTGGGTGAAAAGTGATTTAAAATGTTTGTAAACACAAATGGAAATATTATTTGTCTATATCTTAATTTTGGTGGAAGATCTGGGCGAGAAGAAAGCGTTACTATAGTACAACTTCGTTTTGTCAAAACTTTGAACGCACAAATCATTCAAAAAGAATGTATCAGCCAAGTATACAGACATATTTAAACATACGATATTTAGCTTAAATAAAATGTGTTGGGACAATAACACACAGCACCATCTAGTTCCATGGTAAGCTACGAGTCTCGTGTTATGGATACCAGATAGTTGATACACTACACATATTATATAACTTTCAATGCATACATACATATATAAATATAAACACCCATGACTGGAGTACAAACATTCGTGACACAAATTAATGCCCCAAGCGGGATTCGAACCTGCGACCGCTAGTACAGCAAATACTACAAACTAAGCCAAACGTGTCGTCATACTAATATACAAACATTTTTAAACATACAATATTTAGCTTAAACACCTATTATTCAGTCTTCACTTCCAGAATTTTCATCTCATCGCGTAATGATTTCGAAGAAAGAAATCTTAGATTGCCTACATTCTACGGATCGTATGCTTTTGGCAAGTTTCCTTGTCGCCCCTCTGACGCCGAAACAATATAGATTCCAACATAAATCAGAAAATAAAAAGAAAGTGCAAATAAGGTAAAAATTACAAAATTCTTTCAAAAAAACTTTAAGTTTCTTCGTTCAATTAACTTATGTATCAAATGTTCTATTTTTCTTTCAACTTTCTGATTCGTTAATGAGCCGATGGTATAGAAAACATATAATTAAATATCTAATACTAATATTATAAAGCCGAGTAGATATTTTTTGTTTGAACGCGCTGAATGTACAGTCAAAATTGAAACAAACTTTTTGCATTTTCTAGTATATTTATTATGGGAGGTTATAAACTATTAATATCACACTCAGGCCCTCAAGAGCGAAGCCAGACTTGTGCAAAAGAAAACTATGAAGATAAAATTTAGTTTGTTTCAAAATCAAATCTACGAAATCGAAAGTATGAATGCTACAAACTTGATTTTTTACAGGAAGATTAGGCATTTTGTAAGAAAGGATTTTTAGGGAATTAAACGCCTAAAGGTGTAAAAAGGTGCAGTTTTCATTGAAAATCTGTTATTTTTAAAGTTACAGTGACCAATATTGGAAATAATTTTATTCCGATTAAAAATGACATTTCTGAGGGTGTAAAATATGGGATGACGTAAACCTATTACATATAGTATAACTATACATAAACAAATTAAGCGAGCGGAGCCGCAGGGAAACGGTTGTTGAGTATAAGTTGGAAACGAGTGCCAATGAAGCTTCTTTTGTTGTTGAGGTAAAAGTCGCAATAAAAAACATGTCAATTGTTCGAATAAATTAAAAGATGATCTTTCCGCTACAACACTACAACACTAATTTAATTCATGTTAAGATTTAGAAATACACAGGAAAGACAGGCAATCAAAGAATATTGAAAATAAAACTATCTTTTCGAGCTTTTTCGCGGATTTATATTGATATTAGGTTCCCGACGTTTTTAATGCTTTACAGCAATCATGGTCGAAGGCGAGATTAAGGTTTTAGACATTTAATAGGTAATTTATTTAAAATGTCAAATATTCGCGTAAATCTAAGAATATAAATAATATTTCTTTCATGTTTTAGTAAAAAAATTGCAGCATTTAAGTAGTTGGAACTTGTAAAAATACGTGCAATGTATGAGAAAATATTGAAAAAATCCACATTCAACTGCAAAAGTTATGTGTAAGATGTGGGTTATTGATATGAGATTTAGAACGATATTTAGGTAGATAAGAAATAGTAGTACCAATATTTTGATATCATTGCATTTGCGAGATGTGAAACAGAAAAAAGAGAATATATTATATTCTATGAAAACTAATAATTTTTGAACAACTTTAGAATTTTAGCGTTCCGTATTGGGAGAGTCCACTCAAAATGGTATTATTAAAGCTAAACTGTCCATTCGTAGGACATGCGTTATATATTTGCGGAAGAAATTATAGCAAAATATCTAGTAATTCTTAGTTACTTAATTTATACGTACAAGAAACATTATTATGTATATTTAGATTTAGATTTCTTTATGGTTTTGCTGAATACGGCCTGAATAGTAATAATCATCGTCTACTTTAGATTTTTTAAGCTTTTTTTTAAATTTAGGTATAGCATAAATGTAATAATTACCGTATGCGAAAATAATTATTGAAAAAAACCGGTTAAGTGCAAATCAGACTCGCACAAGAAAGGTTCCGTACCATCGTACAAGATATAACACTATGTACCTACTAATCATTTTTTTTTTTAATTTACTGGCGGCCATTTTAAAATTTGCCATCTTGAATTTTTTTATTTGTTGTTATAGCGGCAATAAAAATACACAATCTGTGAAAATTTCAACCCTTTACCTAATATGGTTCACGAGATACAGCCCGATGCCAGACAAACGGACGGATAGTGGAGGCTTAGTAATAGCGTTGGCATCCTTCGGGTATGGAGCCCTAAAATATGTACTAGAATTGAAGGCATCACTGCTAAATTATAATCATTTAAACATTAGGAACATCATTTTTCTACAACAGTACAACGAATATTAAGAGATAAAAATCGACAAGAAGAATTGTAAAGTAAGATAAAATTTATTCTAATACATTTTAAAAAATATTTAAAATTGTACAAAGTTCGATATAAGCCAAATACTTTAAATAAAACTATATTTTCGATTTTCTTCGCGGATTCATTATGATTTTTGGTTTCCGACCGTTTCGAATGCTTTGCAGCAATCATGGTCATGGGAGTATCTCTCCAGCTTCGATCTCCCGATTCAAAAATTAAAATAATCGAACCGAAACCGAAAAGATTTGAAATGTCAATTATTCGCGTAATTTAAGAAAGTTATGTTATATTTATATTATGTTATGTGAACCCTGATATTATCAAGAAAACTAATTTAAATATATGAATATAGTCTTTAGCCGCAGCTTCGCTTGTGTTATACATAGTTGAGTACTTACCATTTTAAACAACTGTATCTCTATTCATTTACAATGTAGTTAGTACAAACAAAGCCTACTACATCAGACTAGTGACACAGGATCATGTTCTAAATAAGAAATAAACTGTAACCCTCTGTAACATATGTTAAATATACCATCTATACTAATATTATAAAGCGACAGAGTTTGTTTGTTTGAACGCGCTAATCTCAGGAACTACTAATCCGATGATTATTTTTTTTGCATTAGATAGACAGCCCATTTATTGCGGAAGGCTATAGGCTGTATACCATCCCGGAAAAAAACTCCCGTGGCATAGAATTGTTTTAGTCTATGGACGAACCTGAAGCGAAGCGAGGGTGAGTCGCTAGTGACTAATATCACTTTATCATTTAATCTGTGCTCAATCATTTAAAATGTATGTATTAAATAAAAATATCCGCATCCACAATTTATCACCCCCCTGGTGCTACACGTTCTTGCGGGCGGACAGCGACAAGAGCCTCTGGCGCGCGTCCAATGTAAATGGGGTTTCTTTATAAACTTACTAATGCATTTGTTACTGTTCATTAATAATGTATTGCGAACTTGCCATTAATGCTTTTATTATGTCAAAGAGAATTATGTCATGGAGATCATAAACATCCATACTTGTTTTTAAAATTTCTAATTCATTATTTAACTGTGTCCTCTCAGCATGAGCACCTATTATATTAATTACTATATATTTTCGTATCATCATGTTATAGCATAAAGGACCACTCCTTTCATTTAGTATACCATAATCTAAAAGGCTAAACCTCATAATGTTTATTACAATGTCCTCGGACAGATTTTAACTCTGTGTGCAAAAGATATTACAGTGCACAAGTATGCAAGCAAACAAGTGCCCTCCCTATTTCATTCAATCGCAAAATCCCATAGGATGGCAGCAATCGCTAGTCATAAATATTAAAAAATAATTTGTTACTTACCTGCTTTAAAAAAATCACAGTAAAATATTATTTAAATTAAGATACACAGTGAAAGAATTGAAAAAATAGAAATTCATAATCAAACAAATAACAAAAACTAAATTTTTTTTCAGAGACCTACTAGATTTTGCCTAAATTTAAAGAACATGCCTGTATTTTTAAAGAACTTAATAAAAAGTTTATTTACTTAACAGTATGTATAATCTGTAAAATGGCAAAATGTGTGTTTTGTATAATATGTATTTGTAAAAGTTAAACCTCTTAAACTACTCAAAAAATCGTAAAACTATTTAAATCAAAACATATTTCAAATATCATGAAGTGTAAAGTAACAAAATTTGAAACAATGAATTATAAAAAATGGTTGTTTTAATTGCATTTTTGGTAATCAGGTGAAAACTAGTGCATAGTGTTGAGGAATATATTTAAAATTTGACAAAGAGGAATTGTGTTTTAATGATTACTTCTATCTTCAGGGAATATGGATGTGGAATTTTAGATTGAAATTTATATTTATACTGCCAATTGAGGTATAACTATTCATGAAAAATAAAAACGGGAATTGATTCTATAGTAGTAAAAATTACACAAAAAACAAAGCACATAAAGGTGAATTGAGTGCCCTCCTCCTTTCTTAAGTTAGACAATACAAAAAAGTAACAGCAGTATTTAATTATTAACTATTTATTATATTACACAGCTAATAGATTTTGCTTGCTACAATACAACATTTCATTTCTTAATAAGATACTTTTGCTATATGGTATAATCTAAATATTAAGAGGTCATGTTAGTACTCACATTTTCTAATGAGTTAAAGCTTCTATCCCAACTGCTGACCGGAGTCCCTCCGAACAGGTAACCTGGGTAGCGGTCACACATTTATCAAACTTTTGCACACAGCTTTTCCCAAAATCTGCTGATACTCCAAGCTACAATAACTAATTTATTATAACTCCATTGTTGATATCATTGTAATCTCCTCTTAAGTATGCTGTTTTGGCTACTTTTATACTAATCTGAAATAAAAAAAACTCACCAATTGAAAATTCTGCGGAATGTTCAATTCCTTATTATTAAGCATAGTTTTAGAAATTAGAATCAGGTAAGCCATGACAATTTGGTTAATGGCCTTTATTAGAACCAAAAAGTAAACATCAAAAAATGTTATATTTTTTATAAATAACTATTCTTACTTTCAGATATTAGTTAATTAGCGCAATATAACCTTTTGTAATTATTTAAATGTGAAAGAAAAAAATATTGATTAATCTAATTATGAATCCTTATAAGAAATTTAAAATATTATAAAACACATTAGTTTGCCCACGTTATCAGTTAGTTTACTAGTAAACTTTCAAAAGTCTGTGCATCATCTATATTTTTTAAGAATAATGAAAATATTTAGGTAAACTAAATTATTTACTGAATAGAAGTTTATTAGTTGTATTATACTTTTATGTCCACAAAAATGCACTTGAAGTATAAATATTACAATATTTAATTAATAATTCACTTACACGTTTAATTTGTCAGTATACTAATTATATATGATAGATTTTGTGAATTTTAAAACGAATTTGCCGAATTGCAACAGTGCTAACAATTCTAAAATGTCAATTACTTTTTTAATTTTCTGTTGCACTGGCTTTGAATCTAGTTATTTGGACTCTGAATTCTGTAAGCCAGAGATTAAAAATGGATGTTGGCAGTTGGTATAATTTTTAAATCGAATCGAACATTAATATTTAATGTAAGCCTCTACTATAATTTTGACTAACATTGAATATGATGATAACTTCGAGTAACATTGAAATTCATGAAACTAAACGTCGTTAAAAATCTTCATATTAGAAAGATGATGAAGAAATGGTTATGGCTATACATAATTGAGGAAGTTGCGTTGAGTTAATGTGATTTTTAAAAACCCCAGAATGAAACCTAGGACCCATTAACACAATTTCTTGGTAATTCCGTAAAATACTCGTTTAATATACTTTGACAAAAGTGAATACCGACCGACTACTAACACCTTCCTCTTATTCTCAATAGCTGCTGCACATTTGTAAGTCAGGTTAGAGGTACACTAGAAAATATCATAGTTAGAAGATAGCTTTCACCATAGTTGTAGTACTGGACTGTAACTACATTTGAATTATTTTTGAAGTAAAAATTTTTTAGGCGTGACTGAGGGGTAAGTGTGGTGTTTTATTTCCGGTATTCTCAATCCCACATTTCTAATAATTTTATACAAAAATATATTTACCTTAAAATTAAACACCACTTTCTGTGTATTTGAATGAAGAATGGAAGAGTTTCATAAAATCTTTAATCGCCTATTTTATTTACCCGCTTAGAGGATGAATTTCGTAAAATCCTTTTTTATCTGATGTCTACATCATAATATAAGAAATACGTCTCAAATTTAATTTTTCTAAGACCAGCGGTTTAGGCTGTGTGTTGATCCATCAGTCAGCACAACCACAGGATGCACCACTCTTTCTCAATTTTTCCTTCAGCTGGTCTAGGTACTAGGCTCTTCTAGGTACAATATATTGTACAGGTGAAATGCGAACACAATAGAAGCAAAAATCAGGTACCACAAAAGAGATATCATAATAAATTGCTTAACCTCAAACTGAATGTAAATAGATTATACGTGTAGAGCCCTCCATTCAAGTATTTATCACATCGCCAAAAAAGTTTTACTTCAACCGCGCGTAAAGTTTAAACGCACTCATTTTTTTAAACTATAGAGCTGACTGGCAGCGAATTAAATATATCCTGATAGTTAAATGAAAACGTTACATAAATTATTTTAACGTTATAGTTCCTCAGAGTATTTTATTTATACAAAAAAACAAATTTAATATTGTTTTCAGAATACATTATTATTATTATATTTTCCGTATTTTAGCACACAGAATATAAAAAATAAGACGATCATATAACATTGTTATTTAAATTAACTATATTATTTAAATCAATTCGTTACTAAAATCAATGTGCGTTAATTAAAACTTATTGATAAACTAGATACATGAGATAGATAACACATTCTTAGATACATCATTTATAATTTTTAAGAGTTTCTAATATATTTTAAATGTACAATTGAACTTGAATTGATTGAGAAACTATTAAGTCCATTTGGAAATAAAATAAAAAAAAGTCGATTTTATAAACAGAAATAACCAATTCAGTAAGTTATATTACACCCCAAATCATACGAAAATCGTATAGTATTTAAGTTAATTGAATAATTTTTAAATAGTCTTCATCTAAAATCTATGAATGAGCTATATCATAGATAATGAAGTATATTCTAATATTTGGCAACACTTAAAATACCACGTTGATTTGATTTTCTTTCGTGCGACTGCGCGGTGTTTCCCTTGTGAATTATTTTTCGCTATCGTTGCCGCCATTTTGTAGAAGCTGAAGCTATATATTACTAACTCTAATAAAATGACACTATTACGTGAAAATTATAACTAATTGTGAATTTTGTGCATAAGAATGTTAAATCTATTGTAAAACATTCATATAGTTAAAGCTTTGGCAAATTTGTAGGTAAGTCATATATGTTGAGATTTATATGTACCTTTGACAAAAAATTATGGAAAGTGTTACCGAAGTCTTGTGTTAACAGCATCAGAGGAAACCTGAATATGATCTGCTTATAAACTTAAAACTAAAACATCTTAAGCTAATAAAATTATTTGATATTAATACTATTACATTTGTTAGGGCTTCAGTGTAAGTGACATTAAAATTTGTAACGTTTTATAAGCCACGGAAACGAAGTAGGTTGCCATTGTTTGATTAATATTTTGAATTTTTGCAACGCTATTATTTGTTGTGTAGAATTTTTGTTGAGTTTTTATAGTCACCCATTTGCGAAACGTATAAGGTGCTAAAATGTTTATAATTATTTAGCAATTAGCATTCTACAGACATAGGTACCTACACTTACTTTTACAAAAAGTACATAAGTGTGAATTAGAGTAGGCATAGAAAAAACATAATAAGCCTATTTCGACCATAACACAGTCGAAATATATGTGGAGAAGAAACATTCTCAAATGAATATTTTTACAAATCCAAAAAAATGGAAAGGTTCCCTCTGCTTCTAGGTATTATTCAACATGAGTGTCATCATTAGACTGCAGAATCTGCCCTGGTCGGCTAATGCTCTCGACATTAGGAATTTCTTTCGGGGACTTTCTATACCCGAAGGAGGTGTTCACATCGTAGGCGGCGAGCTTGGAGATGCGTTCATTGCGTTCAGGTAGCTATATCTAAACAGATAATAAAATATTTAAGCCACCTTATTGATCTCATACTTAGATATTATATTTAGTTGATTGATTTAAAATAAAACTATGTCTATTGTGTATATAATATTCATAATAAATTTTATTTTCTACAATATTTTTCAATACATGAATGTATTCAAATTAAAACTGATGACATCAAAATTATTAATTTGAATAAAAATACTCACATGGAACTATGATTTAAGTTATCCAAGTTAGGACATGCTATTTCTATATTATATTTGCAAATTTTTCAAAATAATCTACACCCTTCATAAACATAAACAAAAACATATACTTAGTATGCATTGGACAGGAAAGTTATCATAAAAAAAAATGTTCTCTTTAAAGATAGGCCATTAACAAATACTGGAAAAAATTAAGTATATAACTTTATATTATAAATTAAGTATATAATGCAATATTATATCTATAAAAATTATTGATACAAAACATTTAAATTATGGTAGAAGTAACTAAGTTCAATAATTGTAATACTAAAAAACTATTACATTACTACTACAATGAAAACTTAGCCCTTATAATTCTTGTATTGACTGCTGACAAATATTAAAAAAGTACAATTAAAATTAGATATGAATATAAGATATCTATCTATAAGAGAAGAAATTCTTTTATAGTTATGTATGAAACTATTCGGACAACATCGAGAAGTTCAAAACCATTTGAACATCTGATAGTTAAAATCCCACTATTTTATTTAGGTTACTAATATTCTTTAGACAGCATTGTCGCAGCAATGTTTAAATGGTAAGTATTGTTATTGTGTTTGGGACAATCGTGAACATCATGTAAAACTGACGTTAACGGAACAAAAGAAAAAGCAGTTTCTAAAATAAGCATAAATATATAACCAAGACTGGCTGTATAAGATATATTTTAACAACATTTTTAGATTTAAGAAACCTAACTTAAAAATCATATTTTTGGGAGACTAAATCTTTAGCACAATTTTGTATACAGTTGAATTGATGATATGTAATTTTACACTTTAATAAACTCAAGTATCTGGGCTTGCTTTTGGTGTATTTTTAAACTATGATAAAATAGCAATCTTATACTTCTATGAAAACCCTCAGAAAATTATAAATAATTTTTTATACTTAGTTTTGTGGAAAGTTAAAAAAGGAGGTGGTCTAATCGGAAATACGAGTTGAGTTTGTCCACCGATAATATTCTTCATATATTTATAGCTTTTTTTTTTATAGCTGAACTTAAAAAATTATGAATATTTTTCCAATTATACAAATGACTAATCTGATTTTTAATTCGACGGAATTCTGACATTTCAGAACTGTTGTCAACTTTGAAACATTGTCACTAAAAACCGAAAGCATTTTAGCAAAATAAAAAAATAAACCTTTCTTGAAGTTAAGGTTTCAATTATAGAAACTAAGCCTTAAAAAATATTGATAACTCTAGAATAGTAATTATTTTTTTTATTATCATATTATTGAAGTTACAATAATGATTAAGGAAATTATTTTTCTATTACAGGAATCTGTACAATAATCCATAGGATGCAAGCCTTTTTTAGGGAAACCCCTTTGTAAAATATTTTGTTTTACTCTGTTTTATTCATTTAACCATTAAAAATTTATATTATAGGTAGCGTGCATTGAATGCACAAAACAAAGACTATAATGTCATACATATAGTTTACTTGATCTAATTCTGTTTCATATTTTTTATTTTATATTTAAAAAAAAATCATAGCAGAAAAGGTTTATGATATCTGAATTGTCAAAGAATGACAGCTGTCATATTTCCGTGGAATTAAAAATCAGACTAGTAATTATATTTATTTTATGTAGCTATAATTTAAGTGACATTTAGGAGTTACAAAATTATTTCTTTGTGCAAGCTACTTTAATTTCACCAATAGCTTATTTATAACAACTATTTGGTTTATTGCAACTCCATGATCAAAAATTGAAGTACATATCTACATTACAGTGACTGTTTATTTAAGTAAGAATACTCATGCTTAGCAAGTCAGCTAATTTATTTAATTGTCGTCGCTTATATTATCTGTTTATGCCTTATAAATAATTATCCTAAGCTGAAAACATCTCTCAAGGCTTTTAGTTGATGATTTACAGGAATGCTATCTACTCTTCGGGTCCACTATGTTTTCGTTTTTTTTTTATTCAAATTTGAACTAGGTATATTCGTTATTCTTCTTGGATTTTAATATATGAAAACTCTTTAGACATTACAAATCTGTAATATTTTGTTATTATTCTATTATTTAAACTAGAGCTGAGAGGAAATACGATGCACTTCTAGGGTGATGAAACTTAGAAACTTAAAATAACAGCTACTTTGCAGCAACATTTTAGGGCGATGTTATGTAAAGACCTGATTGTGAATGATTTTCGGTATATATTATAAGTCTGAAATATCTTCCTTTAGATTTTTAAACTCTGAGGCTTATATCTGTTTTCAATTCGTAGGAGATGGAAAGAAATGAACATTTAGAATCTGATACTTTGCATAGTTGTAGTAAAAGTCTTATGCCCGATTTCACCAACAACCCATAAGCTTACCACCTACGTATGGGATCCCTAGTTTAAAATTCCCCTAAACTAGCCCCTAAATTAAATTTCGTTTTACCATCGTCTTTAAGCCCATATTTCGGGCACCTAAATTTAAGGGGCATTTTAACATTTAGGTGACCCCTAAATGTCGGTGAAACAGAAACTGTCCCCTAACAGCCCCCTAACCATGCTTAGGGGATCCCTTAAACTTAGGTGACGTTGGTGAAATCGGGCATTAGCATACTAAATCCATCGAATGTATGGTATTTGAGGTATAGGGGCTCTTTGAATAAAATCTATGAAAGCCTAGTTATATTCCCATAAATTGTAGAAGCGTAAGTTATCGAAGTTATTGCGGTGTATAAAATAGTTGGCTTTCTTCCGTCTATTTTAAGTTTTCTGTTCTAAAAGTTGTAAAGCCAGAACTCAAGAAGGAGTTCCTGCGTGTACGCGGCCGCTGACCAACCGCGTGATGCGAATGGGCGACGTCCGAGTCTTCTGGCTGAGCTCATTGAAATGTTATTTAGAGAAGCTATTTTATAATTTGCAAAGTATCAATTTTATAAAGCTTCATTAAATCTGAAACGTATGCATTTTTCAGAAGCACTGAACGGATTATGTACTAGACTAAAACACATTTATATATAATTGTGTTTATTTTTTACGGAAGGTCTCAAGGATTAGGACTACGCACTATCGACGCACACGTCAACACGGAAACTCGCTGGTATAGATCTCTTCACGTAAGAAGAATGCTCTCCGTTTGTCTGCGCACAGCGATTTATCGATAAAATTGGTGGTATGAAGGAGGCGCGTCGGGGGAGTACCTATTATGATTATACCTATAATAAAATGATAGTATTTTAGGACGCAACTGCACCCGTGCGCTGACACATCCCCTCCACTGTCACTCTGCGTTCTTTTTACTTGACGAGACCTATAACGCAATTATATCAAAGATCACGCAAGCAGTTTTTTTAATTTATCTACTAAAAGTATGTCCAGACTACGTACATGATACACGCATTTTTGAAAGAGTGTGTATAGGCCCTATTAAGCTTGTCAGCACAGTACGTGCAGACAACCTTTATGCATAAAGATTGAATATCTATCGGTCTTCGCTACTCAACAAATGGATATAGCGTGAGTTTTATATATATTGCAAATTAATTTTAAGCCAGATTTAGAATGTTAATTATTTCTATTTTAGGTTTAATTTAACTTTATAGGGTCTTGTTAAATTTCTTTCGCCGAGTCTTCTCATTTATAACAGATTTTCTTTTATGTTAACTGCGATTGGTATCAAATAAAAAATGGCTATTTCTAATACGTTGCTGCGCCGCAGCCAGGACAATGCACAAAACCTCATCTATATTTTGTTTGTTTTAAAATTGACAATATTTAACGAGAAAAAGGAATTATTTATAGGTCCTTAGCGACACATTAATTTCATTCTCACCAATTTACATATCCACTGTATTTTGGCAATGGACAAAATCTTACAGGCATGTCAATATTGTGCATAATTTTTTTATATAAAGCAAGAGATCGGAACAAATTAAATAGGTTAGTTTGTTCCGAAAACTACCACGTGGGAGGTCTTATTCTCGCAAAATTCTTTAGAATCTTCAGTGTAGCTGCATACTTGTTTCATATAGACGATTGCTACGCTATTTTTTCATTTCATATTCTATTCTATATAAATGAACAATCTCGCTTAAAGTTTAGGAATATTTAGGCTGTAATATACATGTCGCAGATGGATTGTCAAATCCGCCGTTTTACAAAACCGCTAATTGCTTTACATACAGAGCTGTGAAAAAATATAGACTCATATTTAATTTTTAAGATTGTATGTGGAAATAATTATGTAGTTATAAACATTGTTTCATTAAATAAAGGTAACGAAATAAGAAAACTCTTAGTGTATGTGAACATTTTTTTTATTCATTACAATAAATATAAAAATGAAGGAAATGCCTAAAGGCAAATATTAACCGGGAATAATTATAAACTCAATCTCTTCATAATGTATATATTAATTAATATTTCGTCAATTTACCCTTATTTTTAATGGCTTTGATTAGTCTATCTGGTATACTATCAATTAATTCTTTTTTATAAAATTTTATCCGAAATTTCATTAATTGATGTAATTTTGGATCAACAAGACTGCAGTCTTTGTTTAAGTTATTGATAATATTTGTTTGTTTATGTTATTGAAATATTATTGATTTGGGTTTTTTTTATTATATTTTTTTCTTGCTAAGATCTCCCAAGCATTTTCCATCGGATTTAAACGGGACTGCTTGCTGGCCAGTTGAATAGTGGTAATTATATTTTTGTCTTCAGTCAACATAATGAATGGTAGAAGATGGTCGTGTAATAGCTCTCGATAATTAGCAGCGTTC